GCCGGGACAAGAGAGAGAGAGAGAGAGATTTGGTGTCGTTCGGGCGTGTGCCTTTGTTTTCTTGGCGAGGACCATCGAGGAGCATCCTGGAGCACCTTGCGAAAACATGCCCGCAGGAGATCTACAAGTGCACGGGGAATGGACGTCCGAGCGATGGCAACGAGATAATAGAGGGGGGGCCCTGGAGGGTTTCTCCGAATGGCTTAGGCGACCCGTCCTCCTCCTCCTCCTCCTCCTCCTCCTCCTCCTCCTCCTCCTCCTCCCCATCCTCCGTCCGCCTCCGCCTCCGCCTCCGCCTCCGCCTCCTCCTCCTCCTCCTCCTCCTTCTCCTCCTCCTCCTCCTCCGCTTCCTCCGCCTCCTCCCTCCTTACTGCCTCCTCCCTCCTCCCATCTCCTCCTCTCCTCCGCATCTCCTCCCCTCCTCCTCCGCCCATCATCCCTCCTCCTTCTCCCCCATCTCCCTCCTCCGTCCTCTTCCTCCTCCCTCCTCCTCCTCCTCCTCCCTCCTCTCCTTCCTCCTCCTCCCCCTCCTCCCCCTCCTCCTCCTCCTCCTCCTCGGGTCGCCCACGGCCCCGGGGGAGACCGTGCACGGGGCCCTCCGCCTCCTCGAGAGGGAGGTGGAGGAGCCAGGTCGAGCCCCGCACGCGCTCGTCAGGCCAGGGCGGGTTCCGCCCGGCCGAGGCGGCCCGTGCGTGTCGTGTGCCGACTGGGCAGCGGCCCCGCCGCGTGCTTTCCACGTGGAGCGCCGCCAACGATCACGAGTGAGAAGAGCGTGATAAGAAGTCTCCGAACGAGTGTGATGAAAATGGCAAGTGTGGTACGACAGCAAGTGTGGTAAAACAAACTTAGAACAAGCGTGACAAACAGCTGTGCTAGTTGTTCTTTTCTGATGTGTTCGTAAATATTGTTGTTGTATCGCACTTGTTCGTTTTTTATCACAGTTGGTTTACCACAGTGTTTTATCACACTTGTTCGGGTCGATGTGGAACGATCCTACTCGAAGAAGAAAAACGCCATAAACATTTACTTGTGGCGCTCCGCGTTCATCCGCGCTGTATCCCGCAAGATGGACTTTGCGCCGCCCTTCGCGCGCTCCGCGCGCCAGGGGGGGGGGGCCAGCGCAGACACAAGAGATCCGCGCACGCGCGCGGAACGCCAGAGGTTCATGTTCATGGCTTTTCTTCTCTTTTTGCAGATCCAACGTTCCGGAGACGGCCGACCGCTCAAAGCTGGACGATCCCTGCGGCGTCGGGGGACCCCCGCCGGGGTCGTCGTCACGACGGGAGCCCGCGGTGTCTGTGGAGGCGCCGCGCTTCTTCTCTTCTCGGCTTCTTGTGGATCCGACGTTTCGTTCTAGGCTCATGTTCACGGCTTTTTCTCTTCTTGCAGATCCGACGTTTCGGAGACGGCCGACCGTTCAAAGTTGGACGATCCCCGCGGCGTCCGGGGACCCACGCCGGGGTCGTCGTCACGGCGGGAGACCCCGCGGGTATCTCTGTGGAGCGCGCCGCGCCTCAGCCGGCGGAGGGGACTCGAGGCGCGGGCTGGTAGGCAGCAAGCGCGCGCGGGGAGACAGAGAGTCAGAGCGTGCATTACCTACTCCATATTTCGTAATAAAGGCAGGGGGGCCTCATTTTGGGGGGTCTTCTTCAGGCTCTCTGTAGGCCTGGGGGGTCTGGGGACGATGTTTTGGAGGGTTCTCCCACGGGGGAGGTCTGAAATGGCTTGTCTTGGAGGGTCCAGACCCCCTTCCCTTTTATTACGAAATCTGGAGTAGCATTAAGTCGGGCCTGTCCCCCTACAGGGGGATTTTCGACGAAGAATAAAAAATACCACCAAAAATAGTCAACACATAGCCAAGCAATAGTCTGGGGATTATGTTTCGAGTATTGTTTGACCTTTTGGGGATATTTTTTGGGGTATGTTTTATTTCTCGTCGGACATCCCCCTGTGGGGGGACACGCCCGACATACACATAGCAAGGCCACGTACATCGGATGTCAGGTACCCAGACCCCCGCGGGCACGGAACAGGATCATGACGGGAGGTGTTTGCCATTTTCTGCTTCGGGGGGCCCTTCCCGGGCCTCGGGACGAGGGGAATGGACCGAGACTTCCAGGGGTCGACGTAATGAAACAACCATGACGTCGAGGGTCTGGGTATGCTGCGTGAGATCCGCGAAGGCGTCTTCCAACCGCCGCCAAGGGAGAAGCTCCCGGAGAACGGTCCTCAGATTCCTGCTACACGAATGCCGAACAAGCAGGCCGATGGCATCTGTTCCTCTGGGCCGTGGCCGTCCTCGGCGCCGAGACCTGGCGGAGCTCCAGCGCAGCACCCGCGAAGGCCAATCCGCCACGACGGGAGGTCTCTTTGGCCGCCTGTGGCCGCCCGAGGGCCTCTCGCCGGGCCCCCGGGGGGGGACCGCCAAGGGACGACTCGGGAGGAGACGCCAGCCCCAGGTTACCAGCCTCGAACGTATCCCTATCCCTGAGGTTGACACGCCAAAAGGCGATGATAATCTTAGGGATTCGCCCTCAAAAAGTAAGGGAATCCCTAAGATTGGCATCGTGATGAGGAGATGCCCAGCATAGGGATAGTGATTGTTCCAGGCTGGTAACCAGGGGAGAGGTTCGGGGCGCCCAGGGGCCCGAGGTGGAGAGAGTCGAGAAGCCCAGCCCCCCGACGTCGTGATGGGTTTGCAGAGCGTCGACCCCTGGAGCTCTCGACACCCAGTTCTCGACCCAGTCCCCCGGACCGGTGTGTCGTCCTGGGTCGTTCTGTGACGGCCCCGAGGGCCGGCCCGGGTCCCCACAAGCCGAACATAGCAAAAGACCGTTCGGCAGATCGTTGTTCGCATGGCCAGAGGGTGTCTGGGAGCCAAGACATCGGATGCCCGGGTTCAGGATCAGCGTCATGGGGGGGACTGGGCCGGGAGCCCGGAGAGGAGACCTCGCCCCGCATTCGCCCATCCATCGCCCCTCGGGGCCCAGGTTCCCTGGCCTGCCCAGGAACGAGCGGCTCCTGCTGTCCGGGGTCCTACCGTCGATTTGGACGGCGAGGCATCGCCGATTCCGCCTCAACGTCCCCCCCCCTGAGCCAGCCTCCCACACTTTCGTTCCTTCTACACGAGGATCGACGTTCTTGCAATATTTCCCAACCAACCTGTGTTGTTGGGTCCTCGTTTTGGAGAGACGGTCCCCGCGTCCTCCCTCCTCCTCCTCCTCCCCCCCTCCCTCCTCCTCTCACCCGTCATCATCACCATCATCGTCATCATCATCGCCGTCATCAGCACCATCACCCCTCACACGTTTCGTGGCCCCATAGGGAGCTCCACCGAAGGCCCCAGTGCCGCCTCCCGCATGCGTCCCGAACACCCAAATCGGCACACCCCTCACGCGTTTCGTGACCCCATAGGGAGCTCCACGGAAGGCCCCAGTGCTGCTGGCTGCATGCGTCCCGCACACCCATTTCGGCACACCCCTCAGACGTTTCGTGGCCCCATGGGGAGCTCCACCGAAGGCCCACGTGATGCCGGCCACATGCGTCCCGCACACCCAGTTCGGCACACCCCTCACACGTTTCGTGGCCTTATAGGGAGCTCCACCGAAGGCCCCAGTGCCGCCTCCCGCATGCGTCCCGAACACCCAAGCTGGCATACCCTTCACACGCGTCGTGGCCCCATAGGGAGCTCCACCGAAGGTCCCAGTGCTGCCGGCTGCATGCGTCCCGCACACCCAATTCGGCACACTCATCACACGTTTCGTGGCCCCATAGGGAGCTCCACCGAAGGCCCCAGTGCTGGCGTTTGCATGCGTCCCGCACACCCAAGTCGGCACACCCCTCACACGTTTCGTGGCCTCATAGGGAGCTCCTCCGAAGGCCCCAGTGTCGCCGCCCGCATGGGTCCCGCACACCCACCCATTTCGGCATACCCTTCACACGCGTCGTGGCCCCATAGGGAGCTCCACCGAAGGTCCCAGTGCTGCCGGCCGCATGCGTCCCGCACACCCAATTCGGCACACTCATCACACGTTTCGTGGCCCCATAGGGAGCTCCCCGAATGCCCCCCAGTGCCTGCCGCCCTCAATGCGTCCCGCACGCCCATTTCGGCACACCCCTCACACGTTTTCGTGGCCCCATAGGGAGCTCCACCGAAGGACCCGTGTCTGCCGGCCGCCATGCGTCCCGCACACCCAGTTCGGCACACCCCTCACACCTTCGTAGGCCCCATGGGATCTCCACCGAAGGCCCAGTGCCGCCGCCCGCATGCGTCCCGCACACCCAATGGCACCCCCCTCACACGCTTCGTGGCCCCATAGGGAGCTCCACCGAAGGCCCCAGTGCCGCCGCCCGCATGCGTCCCGCATACCCAATTCGGACACCGAAGGCCCCAGTGCCGCCGGCCGCATAGGCCCCAGTGTCGCCGCCCGCATGCGTCCCGCACCCCTCACACGTTTTGTGGCCCCATAGGGAGGTGGTGGTCCCGACAGCTTCCCTAGTGCCGATTTCTTCGTCGTCGTCGTCCGTCGTCGACGTCCGACCTGCGCGCGTCGCGGGGGCTCCGCGTAGCGCGGCGCCCGCAGCCTTAAACTTTGGAGTCGCGGGCAAAGAGGAGTGAACAGAATGGAGAACGGGCGCGATCCTCTTGTCGGCTCGCCGACATGGGCGTCGCGGCGCGCGGGCGCGCCGTCCGGGTTCCCAGGAAAACTTTTTGCGGAGGCTACGGCTCAGCGTCGCGATTTCCTCAGAGTAGGCAGACCCAAACCATTTCACATTCGTATGCATAACACTAGGCGACTCCATGGTCGCAGTCATGCAAATATAATCCATCGCACGCATTATTATTCAGAATCAGACTCACGTCGCGCTTAGACTCCGCCCGCGCTCCATGCCTTCAATACTCAGACCGACGAACCGCACTCACATCTATACCCCTGGGTGGGTGTATGTGCGGCCGTGTTTGCGCTGTCATGTGCGCGCATGTGCGCGGCATGTGCCAG